TCCAGACCATATAGCAGCGAGAACTATTTGAAAGACAAGCTAAAAAAATTAAGAAAATAAGGTGAAAGCAGGGTGCAGTAGAAAGAAAACAAAGGACTCCTCAGGCAAGATTTTCAGAATTTAATGTCTGAATACCAGCTCCTAAATCTTTTTGTAAGTATATGGCTGGATTTTTTTGTGAGGTGGTGAGTAGCCAGGAATCATTTGAATACCATATGGAGGTGCATTTAGTGTATTCATCTGAAACATTAAAAGGCTAAAATTTTGCTATTTAGCATTTTCCTGAGAAATTAAAAATTTAGGAGACACACGTGAAGCATCCAAGCAGCGGGATGTTTCTAAAGAAACCTGGTGGGTTCTGTTGTAATGCCAGTCTGCCTTTCACCATCTTTCAGTTCCCAAGCTGAGAGCAAGGGTTTCAGAAACTGTGGCTAAGAGAAATGCACAAGGGAGTAGGGAACTGTTTCACTTCGAAATTGGCCCCCAAATTTTTTTTGCTGGAACGTGAATATTCTTTTGAGGTTGGCCATGACATTCTCAGCTCAGAAACATCAGATTAAGCTTAGTTTTTGATGTTCCTCCTGGGAGAAAATTCTCTTTTAAACAGTTGGTATGAATTTAATCCCTTCACATTCCATTCTCAGGAATGCTGGAACTACTGTTTGCAAGAAATCCAAGATGCTTTTAAAAGGACAAGCAAATATTTAATTCAGAGTTCAGCCTGGGTATGTTTGGTCGGAGAAAGGTGTTGGGCTAGAAGAAGGAAGAGACTACGAATTAAAAACACCTTGCATGACACACACACCCACGCACACACACCCGCAGCTGAATGCCAATGCCTGTACATTCACATTTAATTGATGAACGACAAAAAGCAGGAGAGCTGTTGAGCCTGGTATTTCAGGAAACAAATCACCCTTAAATTCAGTCACCGCCTCTTCATGCGTTTCCGAGCGTGTGGTGTGGTGCGGCATGAGCAAGCGCAGGCCGTTCCCTTTCTTTTCCCGTGCGAAGTGGATCCCTGCAGGAATTCGCCTCTCTGTATTTTAATTGTTTTTTTCCGGTTGCTGGCAAGAGTTCTTAAAATATCTCGCCTCTCTCGTATCAAAGCGGCGCTGGCTCAGTGCACAAAGCTGCAGCCAGCATGGGGCTGAGCGGTCACAGGCTGTCCCGGTCAGGGAGCACAGCAGCAGTCTGTATTTACCGGTTACTGAGCCCCCGAAGGAGGGAGGAGGGAGCACTTGCGAACATGTGAGTCGTTGCTGGTGCCAAAGGGGGCAGGAGGAGAAATCTGCCCTGTTCGAAGTGGAAGATTCATCATGGTATTGCGCTATTTCACTGTTTCCAGTCCAAATGGATGTTACGGATAGATTTTGTCAATAAATAAGAATTCATTTCTAATGCTGCTACGAAAATAAAACAGAGTAGGGATTGGTTAGGGCTGCAGGAATAAAAATATGTGATATTACATTGCAGTTTTGAGAAACAGTATATATCCAATTACTTTTGACCGTTACCAGAGGCTGGAAGAAACAGGATATAGCATCAGTTGTGTAAACAGCAGCTTTTCATCTTGAATATGCGAGAGTCTGCTTCTTTGGTCAGGTAGACTGGGTTCTGCTCCTTCCAGGTCCTGTGGCACCTGCAAAGTAAGAAGGGGAAAAAGATGAAAAAAAAAAAAGCAGAGTTCATATTCCAGCCCCTTGAGTTGGCTATTTACAAGCAGGCCACAACAAGCAGGCCACAACACGCAGGATTAGGAATTTCTTGTACTTCGACTGCAAATGCAGGAAAGGAAATTTCAGAAGGCATAATCTGGAGCTATACAACAATACGGGTAAAATACATTATGATTTGCACACCCACAGGAAAGGAATAGGGATGCATTCAAATCTGTAATGGACTTCATGCTGAGCAGCATGTTCAAGTTGATGTACTTAATGCTGCTATCTCTGGTATGAATAGCTGCCCGATTTTGGGAGATTGTGATCTACTCATGCTTCGTTATGATCATAACAATAATATTATAAGGAAAAAAAAAAAGTGAAGGGGAGATTCTAAACAGTGTCTTTCAGAAGTGTCCTGCGGACCTACTGAAGATTCAGAAAGGTCTTTCTAATTCTATTTTTGTTTCTGTTTATCTGATATTACTTATCTGAGATGGCTCTTTCCTGAATTGTGGCCATTTCTTCTTGTCTGTCCTCCTGATCTTGTTAATTTTGTGTTTAAAATATAGTCCCAGTAAAAATTAATGTTTGCAGTAAAACACAAATCCAGCATGTGCTATTGTATCCCCAAAAATCTTTTAGCGAGGCTTCAGTTCTTGAATAATAACTAAATTAATGCACAAGTGGAAGAACCCTGCAAGATATGATATTGTGGTGTGAAAGAGAGGAGTTGGATTACAAAGGAGACAGATCCAGAATTGCTGTAAAATGCTGAAGCTCCTTTTGTTAGGAAGGCTTTGCTTTCTCCTACCAAAAGATAATGTAACCAAGCATTATGTTTTCCTTCTCTGCAAAATTAAACACAGGTTAATTGTGTATTAGCTGAGTGGGTGTTTACCTGAGTTAGTTGTTTAGAGTACTGCTCTGGAATCCACATGGTAAATGAACTATCGAGACTTCTGGGATTAATCCAGTTTATCTGGGGAACACCCTCCAATTTGTAATAACATGATAACTGAGTAAATCTCACATAGTCTGCTGAATTTAAATATGCAGGCTATTATAAGAATTTGGAGCGATCTGACAGACACGAGAGGAGGACCATCACTTGGCTATGGCTGTCATCTTTTTTGTTGTCATTTTAGTAAGAAAATCAGGTCACCTCTTGTTTTATTCCTGGATCTGATATGTATTTTGTGTGAACGCATCTTCCTGTTCTTTTTGTATGGCACCTTACAGGATACTGGTCCATTAAAAAAAAAAAAAAAAAAAAGCTACAGTACAATATAATAGTATAAATAAAAGTTTTCAGTTTTTATCAATCAGCCACAAAAAGGGCGCAACTGTGTTACATGCTTTTTCTCTATGCTATATTTATTACTATTATATTTAATAGCTGTGACAATATATTGAGGCTTTCTGCTTGTATCTTTGGTTTTGGGTCTTTTCAGGATAAGAACTCTAGATGATATGTAAAATGTGCCAGTTTACGTAGACTGTAGACAGTATCACATCTGCTCTTTGTGCTTGAGTGAGAGAGATCTGTCCTTGTTCTGCTCAAGAGAGCTATGTAAAAGGAGAGATGGGGAGTAAATTTCTAGTGCCTGATGACGTGCTTTCTGCTGGGCAGGGTTGATGTGGAGTGCTACCATTTGGGATGCTAATGCTTTGTGCTCCCCATACCCTCATCCTCAGCTTCTTGAAAGGTAAAAATGACGGAACATAGCATAGAAGACCCATGTTTTGTACCAATTCTTACGGTAGTCACTGAAAAGGCTCCAAAAAAATACAATGCAGTTTAGCTCATGCTGATATTTCTCTAGTGTTGCCACTTAAAATAGGTTCATCCCTACCTTTTAACTATGTCTTAGGAAAAAAGTAGTGTTCTTCAGACTTTTAAACTGTGGTATAGTCTAAAATGTATTGCATTTTAGATTGTTGCAATACTCCTTTGGATGCCTTTTTGGGGAACATATGGTATATGAATGGCTTTATTTTGACTATAGAAAACCAGCATCTCTCTGTAAGTTTTCAATAATGATGTAAACCTTAAGAATAAATTTTCAGTAGAATCTGCCCGTGTCTGAGAAAACCTGGCTTTTGTGTTCGCCAAGTTTCAATTAAGTCCCTTTTACAGTTGTGTGTCCTAATTCTCTAACATGTGGACTATACAAGTAGGTTAATTCAGAACGGTTGTGCTAGGAAGTCGTGGTTGGATTTTCTAGCCCTTAAGAAATTTCTCTTTAGAAACCTAGCTGTTCCAATGCCCAGCACTGAGCATGGCACTCTTCAGAAGACCTCCCAGGAGCAGTT